TCACCCTCACCACTCACCCCTACGCACCTCGCTCTCTCTCTCGGCTGCCCCCTGTTGACCCGTGCTGCACGTGGTGGCAGGTCAGCTGACAGCGCCTTGTTATGGCGCTTACGCACAACTTTGTGACGAACGCTGCACGTTCTGTCGCTTTCATGCAGGGGGCGCTGCAAACCTACGCGCCCCCTGCATGAACGACGAAGGCACAGGGACAGACGGTCGATTGCGTTGGAATCGATCTGCAGACGGCGGTCTTCTGGCACGGCCAGCAGCTCTGTGTCGCCTCATCTCAATCCCGCAACCCCAACCAGGTGAAAGTCCGCATCAAACAGAACCCCGGCAAGGCCATCTACTTAACGACGAGAGAAAATTCACACGAAATGTCGTTTTCAATGAAGTCTTCCAGATGTAAAATAACAAGCTTTTAATGAAGAAATACAATTATTAAATTCAAAACATAATACAATTCAAAGTTGTTTCATTTTAAAACTTCAAAACGGAGCATCGGGAGCTTGTGTGGATGCGTTGCTCGTGTGCAATTCTTTTTGTAACTTTCCAATCAGCAAGGAGCATTTCTTGTCCTAATTCGACAAAATGTACGTCAACACGTAATACAAAATTATAATTCGTGTTGTAGAGAATGTATCTCCTCTACGTGTAACTTTTAAGTGGTATGCCTTGTAACTGATGAATGATCCGAGCGTGCTCGCTATTTCAAGGACAATGAGTTGCTGCTCCAGAGGGAGACGCTTCCTGAAAACACAAAAATACCCTTTGACCTGCATCACAAGCACAATGAGTCTCACCTGAGTTATCTGTACAGGTTACTTGCAAAACACACACTGTGTCCTAACATCACTTATTCAATGTTTGACCCTTATAGACAAAATGTTACATGTACGCACACCATCAGACAAGTATTCAGTCTAAATTATTGACAGGCATATGAACAAAATTGAATGACTGCACTGAAATATGCTTTATTAGTTTACATCCTATTAACAAGAAGCTAATTTAAACAAGTAAACCCGTAAAAACAAAGTTTTTCACTCTAAATCCTTTATATGCGTGGCGGCTAGAGTCCTCTCGTCCTCTGGCTTGAGATGGCTGCCACCTATGGGTCAGATGATTGTCTGCCACCATTAAGCAATTGGTAATTAAATATTTAATTTGTTTTCCCTAAACAGTGTAAAATTTTGGATTTTTTTTTTCACGAAAATTGTCACACAACGAGTCTGTGTGGAAAATGTCAGCTCGATTGGATCTCGGGAAGTGGGTTAAAAACGAGCGAAATATTTGCACGGTCCTAAGCAAGCAAGCAAACTTAATATAAAGGATTAAAAAATATATTCGCCTGTGGAGGATGCGGGGATCGATCCCGCGACCTTTGGCATGGGAAGCGAGGGCGCTACCAACTGCGCTACTCCGCCACGGCCTGTGGAGGGGTTACGCTCTGGGCTCTTACACTCTGACGTTCAGCCAAAGCCATGAATGCGTTCTATTTGAATATATGCAAAATAATTTTTTACCTAAAAAGTGTAAAATTTTGGGAATTTTTTTTCACGACGAGTCTGTGTGGAAAATGTCAGCTCGATTGGATCACAGGAAGTGGGTTAAAAAACGACCGAAAGATTTGCACGGTCCTAAGCAAGCAAGCAAGCACGCAAGCAAGCAAGCAAGCACGCGAACTTAATATAAAGGATTTAAAAAATACGCACCGTCTGCTTAACAGTGTATGTACAACATACTAATGCACCATTCAAAACGAGTCGGCCATTGCATGCTGACATCTGGGTCAAAATGTAGCAAATTCTAAACATTACCTACAAACTCCACAACTGAGATGCCACATCAACCATCGCCCCCTACTGACAGGCTCTTGTCCACATGCAGGCCGGTGCAGGGCCACCACCTTGTGCCACACAGGGGCAGCTGCCACTTGGGGATGTTTCGAGTGTTTGAGACGAGATACGATGCAAAACTCCGAGTTGCCAGAGGCGATTAAGCAAGCACCATATAAATGGAATTGATGAGAACAGAGTGAATGCTTGGGAGCTTATTGGCTCTCGCTCCTGGTTAGAGATCTACCCAACAGACAGGTCCACAAAGACTGGCCGCTTACCCTGCAGGTTGAACTTAGGAATTGGGTGTTCAACTTCACATTCTTGTCATTAAAGGCCAGTGACAAGGGTGCATCTATTGGAGCGACATCATCTCAAGTTTACACATCTAACGGGTCTTCATTTGACTTTGTATTGTCTCAGATGAAGTCCACCCACACCTCCACCTCCACAAACTGCTGCTGGGAGTTGCCTCACTCTGCCTCACAGTCAGAATTCTCCTCCTGCTTCATGTTGCCTCCATCGATGCTAAGGTCCCATTTTGGAGTTGAATCTTCATCTTCACATTTTACTTTCACTTCTTCATATTCCACCTTCACCTCTTCATATTTCACCTTGATTTCTCTAAAAGTGTCCAAGCTGGGATTTTCTTCCGATTCTTGTTTGATGAGGGATGGGCTCATTGCGGCACTTTGACTTTCACAAGCTTTCAGACTCCACTCCTTGTGGATCTTGTGATGCTTGTGTGTTCTCTGGTGGTTTTGAAGATGTGCTGACCGTGCAAACGCCATCCCGCACGGAGTGCACCTGAAGGGTTTCTCTCCCGTGTGTGTTCTCTGGTGTTTTACAAGATCAGATGACTGTGCAAACGCCTTCCCACAGACACTGCACTTGAAGGGTTTCTCTCCCGTGTGGGTTCTCTGGTGTTTTACAAGATAAGATGAATCTGAAAACGTCTTCCCACAGACACTGCATTTGAAGGGTTTCTCTCCCGTGTGTGTTCTCTGGTGTGTTACAAGAGTAGATGAAAGTGCAAACGCCATCCCACAGACACTGCACTTGAAGGGTTTCTCTCCTGTGTGTGTTCTCTGGTGTGTTACAAGAGTAGATGAAAGTGCAAACGCCTTCCCACACACACTGCACTTGAAGGGTTTCTCTCCTGTGTGAGTTCTCTGGTGTTTTACAAGAGTAGATGAAAGTGCAAACGCCTTCCCACACACACTGCACTTGAAGGGTTTCTCTCCCGTGTGTGTTCTCTGGTGTTTTACAAGATCAGATGAATCTGAAAACGTCTTCCCACAGACACTGCACTTGAAGGGTTTCTCTCCCGTGTGTGTTCTCTGGTGTGTTACAAGAGTAGATGAAAGTGCAAACGCCATCCCACACACACTGCACTTGAAGGGTTTCTCTCCCGTGTGTGTTCTCTGGTGTGTCTTAAGATTATATGACTGTGAAAATGCCTCCCCACACACACTGCACTTGAAGGGTTTCTCTCCCGTGTGTGTTCTCTGGTGTCGTTTAAGAGCAGATGGCCGTGCAAATGCCTCGTCACACACACTGCACTTGAAGGGTTTCTCTCCCGTGTGTGTTCTCTGGTGGATCTGAAGAACTGATGGCCATGCAAAGGCCTTCCCACACACAGTGCACTTGAAGGGTTTCTCTCCTGTGTGTGTTCTCTGGTGCTGTGTCAAATTTCCAGTCCGCTCCGTGCTGTATCCACGCTGGTCGCATTGTTGACTTGCCGTACCGAGCTGCGCTGCCTGCCTTTGCTCCATCAGACCAATTCTGCAGAGGAAGCGTCAGAGGAAGCGTCAGCTGCAGACAGAAAAAAAGAATATGCACACCACCTACACGTCAGTATCGAGGCACAGATGAAAGCAAAAACACAGTCACACGTGACTTACACGTCTATACTTATTCATATATTCATGATGTAGTGAAAAAGTTTCCCAAATTCATCACACAGGCTGTTATTGCACACAATGAGAGGGCAAATGGTCATAAATATGCCTGGAAGCCCTCGTATCTCCGTGGTGAGATGTTAACTACCTCACCTGGTATACAGGAAGTCGTGGGTTCGATCCAGACCCTGACGCCTGCTGCTGCTGTATATTTGGAGTTTGCGTGTCTCTCTCTCTCCGTGGTGAGATGTTAACTACCTCGCCTGGTATACAGGAAGTCGTGGGTTCGATCCCGACCCTGACACCTGCTGCTGTATATTTGGAGTTTGCGTGTCTCTCTCCGTGGTCGCGTGGATTTTCCTCCGAATCTCCCGGGTTTGCCCTCCACATTTAGAGACTTCATTGAAAACGACACATTTCCACACGTATTCTTGGTTCTTTCGGTAAAGTCACGTAGATAGACAATAACAACAGATAATAACATCAAATAAAGGACACTTGTGTTGCGATCGAAACGTCGTGGGTTTTTTTATTTATTTACAATTTTGTTTACTTTTATTCATTTTATTATCTGTTATTTTTACTAAATTTTCTATCTCCGTGACTTTACCGAAAGAACCAAGAATATTAATTGCTGCAGTTACTAAAGTTTTAAGTCAAAACACTGACACACGCGTTGACAAACCCCACCTACCTACCTACCTTGTTGTTGTTGTGGGCAGGTAGCTTCTGTAAACAAGAGCGGTACAGCAGCTCAGGCGGGCATGGGCTGGTAAAAAAACGAAAAAAAAACTGCGTCAATATCTACAATAAACCAAAGTGACAAAGTAGCGAGCCGCGTGAAGACAAATTAAACTTAAGGGAGGGAATTAAAGCAAACGCGACCAGGCGAGGGCAGGAGGCAAGGCCCCGCGTGTCTAGGCCCCGCGTTGTAAAGTTCCAACTTGGACATCGATTCACAAGCTGCTGCTGCTCTAGTGACATCCCTACGAGAGAGAGAGCGAGGCTCTAGCTTGGTAAACAACAACAACCACAACAACCACAACAACCGCAATGAAAATTTCTCACCTCGGATTTCAGTTCACGCGCGGACCTCCAGCTTCCTGTTAGCTCGTGACGTCACGCGGCAGCAGATGACATGACGTCACTTTCTGGGGTACAAGACCCTCCCCTCCCACAATGAGAGGCTACCCTAACTGAATAAATTAATAAATTATGTTAATGTTTGCGATCATCAACATTATCAATAAACATCATTTACACCATCATATACAACAACATCATCAGCATCAACAACATCATCAGCATCAGCAACATCATTAATAACATCATCTACACCATCATCAGCAACATCATCACCACCCCTAGCATCAGCAGCAATATCATCAACATCATCAGAAGCAGCATCAACAACATCATCAGCATCAACAACATTATCAGCAACATCAACAACAACATAATCAGCAATCAGCATCAACAACATCATCAGCAGCATCAACAACAACATCAGCATCAACATCATCATCAGCATCAACAACAACATCAGCATCAACAACAACATCAGCAACAACAACAACAGCAACATCAACAACAACATCAACAACATCAACAACAACATCATCAACAACATCAACATCAACAACATCATCAGCATCAACAACAACATCAGCAACACCGTCACCATCTAGAACAGAGGGGAGGGAAGACTGCGGCCTAGTCGGCCTCGGGCCATCCCGAGTTTTCCTAGCGGACCCGCCGCGCCCGGAGCGCCTCCCCCGGCAGGAGTCGGGATCGAATAACGGGTCCGCCGGGCGTGCTGAACACACACACAGTGTACACACACACACACACACAGTGTACACACACACACACATTGTACACACACACACACAGTGTACACACACACAGTGTACACACACACAGTGTACACACACACACAGACACACACAGACACACAGTGTATACACACACAGTGTACACACACACAGACACACACAGTGTACACACACAGTATACACACACACAGACACACAGTGTACACACAGACACACAGTGTACACACACACACAGACACACACAGACACACAGTGTATACACACACACAGTGTACACACACACAGACACAGACACACACAGTGTACACACACACACAGTGTACACACACAGTGTACACACACACACAGTGTATACACACACACAGACACACACAGACACACAGTGTATACACACACACAGTGTACACACACAGACACACACACAGTGTACACACACGGACACACAGTGTACACACAGACACACAGTGTACACACACACACAGTGTACACACACACACAGACACACACAGACACACAGTGTATACACACACACAGACACACACAGTGTACACACACACACAGTGTACACACACAGTGTACACACACACACAGTGTACACACACACAGACACACACAGTGTACACACAGAGACACACAGTGTACACACAGACACAGTGTACACACACACACAGTGTACACACACACACAGACACACACAGACACACAGTGTATACACACACACAGTGTACACACACACACAGACACACACACAGTGTACACACACACAGTGTACACAGACACACAGTGTACACAGTGTACACACACACACAGACACACACAGACACACACTGTACACACACACACAGTGTACACACACACAGTGTACACACACACACAGTGTACACACACACAGTGTACACACACACACAGACACACAGTGTACACACAGACACACAGTGTACACACACACACAGACACACACACAGACACACAGTGTGTACACACACACACAGTGTACACACACAGACACACACACAGTGTACACACACACACACAGTGTACACACACACACTGTGTGTGTGTACGTGTGTACACACACACAGTGTGTACACACACACACAGACACTCCAACACACAACCGGTTAGTGCTGCTCCAGTGACAGATTGGCACGGTGTGTTCGCGTGATAAACCTTGCCAACTGGCTGTGTCGGCTGATGGTCGGTTTAACGACACGCAAACATTCAAACTTAATTTGGAGCTTTCGTGACTGCAGGAATTACTCTTTGGTGGTTCTTTCGGTAAAGTCACGTGTAAAGATAAAATAATACATTTAATACAAGCATACGACGTTTCGATTGCAACACAAGCAATCATCATCAGGTATAAATGAAATCCCGGCCGGGTACGGGTAGCCGGGTATCGACCTCTGGCGTGTAGAAATTAAGCGTGCGTTTATATTATAGCAGATGGGAAAACCGAATGCAAAAAGATGAAACTCATCGCCGATGTCACGAATGGAAAGATGTTGAAGCGGAGTGATGTGAAAGTGAGGGAGTGTGAACCGTTGGAGTGCGGCCGTGAGATGGACTAATGGCTCGTTCTCTTTTGCGATCATCAGCAGACAGAGCCGGCCATGAAGCCGGTCCTCATCTCACTGTTCGTCTTCCTCCTTCTGGGTGAGTTCACACCCAGAGACACTCACCCAGCACACATTGGACGGTGCCCTTTCGTTAGCTAGGTGAGAGGTCACTGCGATCTGCCTCGCCTTGAATGCAGGAGGTCGTGGGTTCGATCACGACCCTGACGCCTGCTGCTGTATATTGGGAGTTTGCGTGTCTCTCTCTCTCATCGTCATCATCACGGTGGCTAGGAGATGTTAACTACCTCGCCTGGTGTACAGGAGGTCGTGGGTTCAATTCCGAGCCTGATGCCTGCTGCTGCTGTATATTTGGAGTTTGCGAGTCTCCCTCTCTCATCGTCATCATCACGGTGGCTAGGAGATGTTAACTACCTCGCCTGGTGTACAGGAGATCGTGGGTTCAATTCCGAGCCTGATGCCTGCTGCTGTATATTTGGAGTTTGCGGTGTCTCTCTCATCATCATCACGGGGGCTAGGAGATGTTAACTACCTCGCCTGGTGTACAGGAGGTCGTGGGTTCAATCCCGACCCTGATGCCTGCTGCTGTATATTTGGAGTTTGCGAGTCTGTCCCTGTGGCCGCGTGGATTTGTCTCCGGGTCCTCTGTTTTTTCCTCCACATTTCGAGTCGACGTGCATTCCGATGACTTTTCTGCGATAAATTTCCGCATTTGTGGCCAGGTAACTTTTGATTAAAAGGGTCACATTTCACCTGCTAATTGTCATAGTTGTTTTTAAATCTCCCACCGTGAGGACGACGAGGAGCTCACGGCGATGCGACCCCTGTGACACCGCCCTGGGCGTGCCAGTGGCTGTCTATCAGTGAACTGTACGGTAACTAAGGAATAGTTGTCTGTCAAATAAGATGGTCCAAATATGTGTAGTTAAATCTTTTTCGCATGGTCAATAACATCTTTCCAATGATTTCTCAGTTTGTACCCATCATCACGGTTGAAATTATGTCTGTGTTTGTATATTTGGATGGCTTCGTGTAAAAACCCTTGATGGTAGCCAGGAGGTTTGCAGAGCACCTTGGTCTCGGAAAAGACAATTTCATGAGAGCCCACAGCGTTGTAGCAATGATCGGCAACGGCGGAAGAATCAGTTCTGCCGTGTTTCAGATCTGACTTGTGCTCGCGGACACGATCAGAGACATGGCGTTTCGTTTCTCCAATCTAGCAATCACCACCACTGCAACTCAGTTTGTAGACTCCAGGGTATTGTAAGTCAGGAATGACATCTTTCACAGATGGAATTAGATCACGGATGTTATGTACTGTACTGAATCGGACTTGGATCTTATGTTTGTTTAGAATTTTGGAGATCTTTTTGGTCACGCCTGCTATGTATGGCAACGTGATGGTTTTGATCGGAGTTTCAAGTGGCTGTTTCTGTATGGTGGGAGAAACAGCTTGGCGGATGGTGCGGTCAGAGTATCCGTTCGTCCTGAGGGCCCGATGTACATGTCTCAATTCACTGGCCAGGTGGTGTTGGTCAGAAATGCCATGAGCTCTGTGGTATAGCGTTTTGATGCGTAGTTAAATCTGTTTTGCATGGTCAACAAGGTGTATGCGTAACGAGCGTGACCGGTCTCTCTGCAGATGCGGCGTTGGCTGTCAAGCTCCAGCTCACTCTCCCGAAGAGTCTGTCTGTGAGGGAGGGAGAGAACGTCACTCTCCCCTGCTCCTTCTCCCCACCGGCCACACACCTGGACCACGTCGTCGTCCAGTGGTTCACGATGCCCAGACGCTACGCAGAGAACGTCACCAGTGGAGACATGACCTTGGTGGGGCTCGCATTTCACGTCAGTCGTGACTAGTGATTGTCTTTAGATTTAAAGCTGATTTCGTGACTGCAGGGATTCATCTTCTTGGTTCTTTGGGTAAAGTCACCACGTAGAACGGAAGTAATAAAGTAATAAAAATAAAACATAATAAAATGCAATTCTCACGACGTTTCGGCCACAACGCAACCAGCCGTCCTCAGGTGGAGACCTGTTCTTTATTATTTCCATTCTACGTGACTTTACCAAAAGAACCAAGAAGATGAATGCAACAGACGCTGTCTTTCCGACAGACCTGTTCTTCACCTGAGGATGGCTGCTTGCGTTGTGGCCGAAACGTCCTGAGAATTATTTTATTATGTTTTATTTTTATTATTTCCATTCTACGTGACGACTTTACCGAAAGAACCAAGAACTCGACGCAAACTCAACGTTCATATTTTGCCATCGCCCAAGAGCTCTCCCGTGTAGGGAGTTAACCGAGCTCACCGAGCCCGGCTCAGCTCACGACGATTCGACGGCGGGCATCGCGTGCGATCGCGCTCGACCGTCCCACGTCGCGCTCGGTGTCGTTGGCAGATCTACTTCTCGGGCGACGAGACGGCGGACGACTCGAGCGTCGCCAAGTCCGCGGGAGACGTGCTCGCGGGAGACTGCTCCGTCGGCATCCCCAACTTCCCCGGGAGCCTCGGCCCCGTCGCCCTGTGCCGCGTCGACTGCCGCCGCTGTGACGCCGCGGGGAACGCCGCCGTGCAAGCGGAGCTGCTGCTGCAGCTGCAGGACGTGACGGCTGCGGGTGAGCCGAGCGCGGAGCTCGCGGCGCCGGTTGCGCCGTGGCTGACACGGCCACGCTCGCCGCGCGGCGACGCGACTCTTCGCAATTTCGATACGATGTCAATCCCGAGTGAGAGGTCTCTCCCTACTGCACGTGAAGCCGTGTTGAATGGGTGGTCTCTCCCTGTTGCACGTGAAGCCGTGTTGAGTGAGTGTCTCTCCCTGTTGCACGTGAAGCCGTGTTGAGTGAGTGTCTCTCCCTGCTGCACGTGAAGCCGTGTTGAGTGAGTGTCTCTCCCTGCTGCACGTGAAGCCGTGTTGAGTGAGTGTCTCTCCCTGCTGCACGTGAAGCCGTGTTGAGTGAGTGTCTCTCCCTGCTGCACGTGAAGCCGTGTTGAGTGAGTGTCTCTCCCTGCTGCACGTGAAGCCGTGTTGAGTGAGTGTCTCTCCCTGCTGCACGTGAAGCCGTGTTGAGTGAGTGTCTCTCCCTGTTGCACGTGAAGCCGTGTTGAGTGAGTGTCTCTCCCTGCTGCACGTGAAGCCGTGTCGAGTCGCCGCTTGAGGTGGTGGTGCAGGGTGCGAGTGGGGGTCACCCTGAGCCCCCCCCCCCCCCCGTCTCCGTGTCTCTGCAGCCCCACGGCGGCCACACGGCGGGGCTCTGAGCGAGGCCACCGCCGCCCCTCCAGGGGAGACGCCGCCGCACAGGGCAGGGCTGCTGGTGGCCGGGGTGCTGGCGCCTGTGGCTGTCGTGGTCTACGTCGTCTCCGTCTGCAAGGGGAACAACACGAGGAGGAGGAGGAGGAGGAGGAGACGCCGTCGGCCTTCAGGGCCCGGGCAACCGGATCGCCCGGCCCCCCCTGGTGAATGAGCATTGACGTGGGTAGCCGGCCGGAGCTCTCTCTCTCCGTGGCCCCACACTCGGTGTGTCACTGACGAGGTCTCACGTTCACGCCAGAGCTCGCAAACGGGTTTTGATTCCTTACCCGTACCTGGCCGCACCAGGGTCGCAAACGGGTACCCGTACCCGGCCGTACCCTACCCGTACCCGTACCCAGCCGGGTACGGGTAGGGTACGGGTATCGGGTACCTGATTGCGACCTCTGGGATGAAGCCATGTTGCAGGCGCGGGTGGGTTGATTCTAGAAACTTGAATTCGGTAAAATCATCACGTAGAAGGGAAATAATGAAATAATAAAAATATAAAACAATAAAACACATTCTCACGACGTTTCGACTGCAACACAATCAATCGTCGGCAGGTGTGCAATCCACAGCAAGAAAGTTTGAAAAAAGTGGCGGTTTGTCGTGACGTCAGCACCACGGACAGCGATTTGGCAGTTTGCCAGATGGACGAGTCCATCTCCGTTCGGGGAGAAGAGGAGGGGGCAGCAGACAACGGGCTGCGTCTGCAAGTCACGTGAGCGTGAAGACCCGAACAGAGATGGACTCGTCCATCTGGCCAACTGCCAAATCGCTGTCCGTGGTGCTGACGTCACGACAAACCACCACTTTTTTTCAAATTTTCTTGCTGTGGATTTCACACCTGATGACGATTGCTTGTGTTGCAGGCGAAATGTCGTGATAATTGTTGTTTTATATTAATATTATTTCATTATTTCCCTTCTACATGACTTAATGTGTAAATTTTATTATTTTATTATTTCCCTTCTACGCGACTTTGTTTTATTTTTATTATTTCATTATTTCCCTTCTACGTGACTATGTTGTATTTTTATTATTTTATTATTTCCCTTCTACGTGATGACTTTACCCAAAGAACCAAGAAGACGAACCTTCTGTTTGTCCTTCTTCAGACAGTGGCGCTGGGAATGCAGAACGTGCGTAGGGACAGGTACGTGGACGCGCAGCCGCCGATGGACAGACGCGAAGAGAGAACAGGACGAGTGTCGGAGACCTTCGCCGTGTGATGATGTTCAGGCAGCTCGATGGTCGGCACGGGGAGTGGGTCGCACACACACACATGCACACATACACTCACCCCCACACACTCACACACTCACACCCATACAGTTACACAGTCACACACCCCCACACACACTCACACACTCCCACACTCCCACACACTCACACACACACACCCACACTCACACTCACTCTCACACACACTCACTCTTACACCCATACAGTTACACAGTCACACACCCCCACACACACTCACACTCCCACACACACACTCACACACTCCCACACACTCACTAACACACCCACACACTCACCCCCACACACCCACACACACCCACACACTCACTCACACCCACACACTCACATACCCACCCACACACTCACTCACACACCCCCACACACACACACTCCCACACACACTCCCACACACACTCCCACACCCACACACTCCCACACCCACACACACTCACACACACACTCCATCACACACACCCACACACACCCACACACACCCACACACACACACACACCCCCGCACACAACAACCGCCATTCGCCACTAAGTGGCGGTGACGTCACCACGACGCTTGTGCCAGTGTTTCCCCCTCGTGCAAGGAGCGGCTTTTCTCCGAGATGTTCAGATTTCCTCCTACCCTTGCGGTGCACGCAACTTACTCATTGGCTGACAATATCCTGCGATGAAACATAAATCAAAAACCCCGAATGTGGAAGGGCCCTATTGAGTGGAGAGTCTCCGTGACACTGTGCAGCCTCCTGGATCATTAAACTATCATCATCATCATCACCATCATCACCATCACCATCATCACCATCACCATCATCACCACCATCATCATCATCAATCATCATCATCGTCATCATCGTCATCACCATCATCATCAATCATCACTCCGCACACATTTGTGGGTTTTTTCGCCGTCGTCCGAAGTACCGAATTGGGGAGGTATCACACGCGTGGACAGACGGAGAGGAAACTCGCGAATGTTGCATGATTCTGATGCTGCTAATCCTGCATAATGCACGGGCATAATATGACTTTGAGACCCCCCGCCCACCTCCTACGCATTTCACAAGTGGTACTAATCCCATATCTGCATTTCCCATAAATATGCTAAATTCCTCGATATGCAAATTATTTTGTCAAGGCGCTCTTCCCCCCTCCATCCCGGCTTAAATATACGCTGCCAAGCCTGGTGGTGTTTCATTCAGACGCTGTCTTCCCGACAGACCTGTTCTTCACCTGAGGACGGCTGCTTGCGTTGTGGCTGAAACGTCGTGAGAATTGTATTTATGTTTTATTACTTCCCTTCTACGTGACTTTACCGAAAGAACCAAGAAGATGAATCCCTGCAGTCACGAAAGCTTTAAATCGAAAGATTCTAGTTGATCGATAATGAAACTGTTCCAGTGGGATAAGGCGTGCTGGAGAGCGGTACGGGATCCATGAGGACGCCCACTCCTCCCGCCCCTGGTGATCATTAACAATCGATGCAGAACTAGTGCACCGCTATACGCCATCGTGAACACCACAGCCGACTTAATCGAGACCCAAAACGCACACAGCGTTACTCCGATTTAACGTCATTTCGCAAATGACGTGGTCACGTGATTAACACCGCCACCCTCTCAGCCCCTTCGCCTCCACCACCATCACCACCTACTACCACCACCACCACACTAACAATCGCTTCGGTATAACGCCGTTTCCATACTCAGGAACGCATCCTCGACGAAAACCTCACCTACTACCACCACCACCACCACACTATCAATCGCTTCGGTTTAACGCCGTTTCCATACTCAGGAAGGCATCCCCGATGTCCACACACACACAGAGATAGACACAGAAAATGACTTTTTTCTGCAAGATTGTATTCAAGTGTAAAGTGTATAGAGCGTCACGCGGCTCAGTGAAGGGTATGATGACGTATGCTGCAGGGGGGCGGCTCGCTAAATCACTTGTGTAGGGGTCACCGCTCTGCATTGTCACTCCTCACTGTGCCCACACACTCACTCACTCACACACTCACACTCTCACTCACACACTCACACTCACCGCTCTGCATTGTCACTCCTCACTGTGCCCACACACTCACACACACACTCACACACTCACTCACACACTCCCGCTCTGCATTGTCCATCCTCACTGTGCCCAGTGAACGCTTCGGAAAATTGCCAAACGCGGCGTCAACAAGAACGGAGTAGAAAGGAACAACAACAACAACGCCACCGAGTTGCTAACCGCAATCAAGTGGCGACGGTCAAAAAGCAACAGCGCTTCTGCATTGTGGAAATTCACCACATGCGGATGTTGACAAGTGCATAGCGGGGTAGTGTGTCAAGGTGCAGTGTATCAAAGTGTAGTATTTGTAGTCGTGTAATGTATCGTGTCACGTAGTCATGCGCATGCTGGATGCTGTGATACCGGTGCCCCAAACAAACTTTGTGGGGGGGTCACCAAACACACCCACAGGACCCGGCTGAAACCAAATGGAATCGGGATTTCAGCCGAGGCCATCCCTCGACAGCGTCTTGAGGCTACTTGCACAAGAATTGATCGACGGTCGATGGGCACAGCTTGCAATCGACGTTCCAGTGGAGTTGCTCCTGGCAGCCGCACTGCTTCTCCACCGTGACTGGGAAGGGAACAGCAGCAGAGGAGTCGGTGCGAAACGGACGCGCGGAACCGGTCGTCGTTCTGACCACGAGATTTTTTTAAATCGCAACTTTGCGATCGCCGTTGACGTCACGAGGTGGAAAATCTCCGCGCGCTTCTTGCCGACATTTGAGAGAGAGAGAGATAAAACACAGCAGTTCAACTGCTGAGCCAGCCTAGAGAGACCTGTTACAACGAGGGTTTGTATACGTGGTGCAGGGCAGGCAGCCTCTGGGCTGGAAAGGAATTCCATCCCCGGACGCCATCACAAGAGCCGTCGTGACGTCACTGCCACCTGTCAGCACATGGCGGTTGGTAGTGACGGTGGTGGTGGTGGTGACTGTGGTAGTGGTGATGGTGATGACGGTGGTGGTGACGATGACGGTGGTGGTGGTGACTGTGGTAGTGATGATGATGGTGGTGGTGGTGGTGGTAGTGACGATAACGGTGGTGGCGGTGACTGTGGTCGTGATGATGGTGATGGTGGTAGTAGTGACGATAACGGTGGTGGCGGTGACTGTGGTAGTGGTGATGGTGGTGGTGGTGGTAGTGACGATGACGGTGGTGGTGGTGACTGGTAGTGATGATGATGGTGGTGGTGGTGGTAGTGACATTGACGGTGGTGGTGGTGACTGTGGTCGTGGTGATGGTGGTGGTGGTAGTGACGATGACGATGACGGTGGTGGTGGTGGGGGTGGTGGTGGGGGTGACATTGACCTAAGGTTCACGGAAAGCAGTTCTAAAGCAATACATGTTCAATGTAACTGCGTGTGTGTACGGTACTACTGTATAGTGGTGAAGAACAGTGTGAAGTGGTATGGGGACAGGGTGATTAGAGAGAGACTGGTGCATGCGTGGAGACAATTAAAATGCAAATCAATTTATAACATTTTTGGCATGCGTTTTTCTGGATTTTGTTGCTGTTATTCTGTCTTTTACTGTTCAAATAAACCCACCATTAAAATTATAGACTGATCATTTCTTTGTCAGCAGGCAAACGTACAAAATCAGCAGGGGATCAAATACTTGTTTCCCTCATTGTAACAAGCTGAGATTAGGAGCACTCCCTTTAAGAGTGTGCTCCTAACCTCAGCTCGTTACCTGTATAAAAGACACCTGGGAGCCAGAAATCTTTCTGATTGAGAGGGGGTCAAATACTTATTTCCCTCATTAAAATGCAAATCAATTTATAACATTTTTGACATGCGTTTTTCTGGATTTTGTGTTGTTATTCTGTCTCTCACTGTTCAAATAAACCTACCATTAAAATTACAGACTGATAATTTCTTTGTCAGTGGGAAAACGTACAAAATCAGCAGGGGATCAAATACTTTTTTCCCTCACTGTAGCTCACTGGGCCTTGCCTGGTCAAATATGAAATAGTTGTTGCTTTTTAAATCCTTTATATTAAGTTCGCTTGCTTGCGCGCTTGCTTGCTTGCGCGCTTACGACCGTGCAAATCTTTCGGTCGTTTTTTAACCCACTTCCCGTGATCCAATCGAGCTGACATTTTGCACACAGACTCGTTGTGCATGACAATTTATTTTCCATAACTTCACACTTTTTAGGAAAAAAAAATTATATTTAATTACCAATTGCTTAATGGTGGCAGGCAATCATCTGACCCACAGGTGGCAGCCATCTCAAGCCAGAGGATGAGAGGACTCGAGCCGTCACGCATATAAAGGATTTATAGTGAAAAACTTTGTTTTTACGGGTTAATTTTTAATGACTAGTTTTAGTTAATTTTCGGGGGGGGGGGGTTAGGGAGAGGTGAGGGGCGAGGGGCTCACCTTGTGAGATGTCGTATCCTCTGTCACAGCACGTGATGACGGAGCATGCCTCCTTGCCCTCGGAGGTGACGTTGCACCGCCGCCCCACCGCGCCGGGGATGCCGCTGGCGTCGTTGCGCTCGCAGTAGCCGGGGCTGGCGCTCACGTGCACCAGCTCGCTCGCCGTGGGCGCCGTCAAGCGCTCGTTCACCGGCTCCAGACGCCAGCGGGACCAGCGGGTGGCACCGGCAACGCTGCTGCTGCTGTTGTGGCGGACCAGCCGCATGGCGGAACTTGTGTCGTACTTGTGCTGCAACCACCATCATCACCATCGTCATCATCATTATCATCATCAATATCATCACCATTATCACTATCATCACCATCATCATTATTATCACCACCATCATCACCATCATCATTATCATCATCATCATTATCATCATCACCATCATCATTATCATCATCACCATCATCATTATCATCATCACCATCATCATTATCATCATCACCACCATCATCATCATCGGGGGATGTGGTGGTTGTCGAGTGAATGCGGGGAGCTCCCTTAGCTGTTAGGGACCCCCCCCCCCGCCTGTAACCCCCCAATGGATGAATCCTCGTCACACCCACACTCCCTCTGGGGGCAGTCCCACCCAGCAGCTGTGAGCAGCTCACCTTCAGCAAGTTCCCAACTTGGTGGAAGTCGGCGAGCTGCTGCCAGCAGATCTTCAGCATGCAGCGGCCAAAAAGCAGGTGGCACTTGCAGTCCATGTGCGCCAGATTGTACACCGCCTGTAGCACCACCACCACCACTACCAGCGTCACTACCACCACCACCGTCATCACCACCACCAGACATCACCACCACCGTCAATGTCACTACCACCACCACCACCACCGTCATCACCACCACCAGACATCACCACCACCACCAGCGTCACTACCACCACCACCACCGTCATCACCACCACCAGACATCATTACGCTAAAACATTACCGGTAGAAGTTCAAGCGAGAACCATTGCGTTAATCACGATTGGTAATACAACCCTAGGCAAGGAGGCCAAACCTAATTAGCATGGAGTAACTTTTTTTTATTATAAAAAAAAAAGACAACATCTACAACGACCCACCACCCCGTTCACACACTCACCAGCCGACCCGCCTCATTGTCGTGCAAATTCATCGCCAAAGACTCCCCTCTCTGCCTGCTACGACTGCCATCGCCCACATTCACGAACCACTTGGCGAACTGGTATCTGTATTCGACGTCGTCCGATGAGCCGCCCCGCCGAGCACGCGGCGGTAGCCTCATGGCGTCGGGAACGACCCAGGAGCAGCTGCCCTGGAACTGCCCCTGGCGGCAGCCGCGCGCCACCACGTGGGACACTCCGGCGGCAACAATGGCGGAGAGGAATGCGTCCTCGCGCGAGCCGGGGGACACGCCGGGGAACACTCCCGTGGTGTAGCGCGTGAAGCCTGCCGGGGCGGCGGGGGGAGGAGGACATGCCGAGCAGGTGTAGGGGGGAACGTCGGCTATTTGTAACGTGAGGTTACATCCGGGTCGTTGACGGATTACAACTCGTCACGGTGATTGGCTCTGCCGGTCCTGGTCCATAGCCAATGGGGGGAACCCTAGGGGCGTGGCCCTGACGTCATGGGAAGGTGACAGCTGTTTGTAGATGATTGGCCCTGCTGGCTTTAGCCACAGCCAATGGGGAGACGAGTCAGGGGCGTGGTCCCGGGAGCCTACGATGGAGTCTGGAAGATTCCACGGAGGCTAACCAGGATTGGTGGAAACGTACCACGTGACCTGGGTATTAAATAGGGGTGGAGACGAGCAACACGTGGTCAGAACTGGAACGAACGAAGGGGGGAGGCCACGCTGGAGCGAGATCCAGGCTGCCACGTGGTCCAGGCTGCCACGTGGCTGCGCGTGTCTCTCTCTCTATCTCTCTCTGTCCCTCTCACGCTGCCTGTCAGCAGCGTGAAGGAGTGCTGTAATGATAGACGAATAAAGACCGGATTACAGAAGTCGCTTCAACGACCTCTATTACATGTTTATAGACAGACCCCTCTCACAGGATCTGCCCAGGGACCGAGCAATGGGCTGCGCAGCCCTATAGAAGGGGAGCCCGGATCGGCAGTGTGCGCGGGCAACTCAGCGGCGGTAGCGGTAGCAGGAGTGGCTGGGCGAGCTCCCACCCTCAAGGATCGACACGAGCGAGGACCGGGGTATCGTCACCAAGTAGGAGCCGAGCGCCGTCTCCAACTCTACAGAATTGACGTCGGACAGGGGAACATCGGGTGACGCTGTGATTATTGTTACATGTCTCCAGCGGCCAACCCGGGGAGTGGACCAGGGCCGGTGGGACGTCTGGAAGCACAAGAGGCGTGCCAGGTGCGTCAGGAGCAGGGAAGCCAGCCGGCTGCGGCCTGGCACCATCCGAGAGCCAAGTCGGTCGCCTCTGGGCTGCCCCCTACGGACATCTCCCACTGTGTGAGGGCAGCAACTCTGCAAAGCCACCACCACGACCGTCATCATCACCGCCACCACCACCGTCAATGTCACTACCACCACCACCGTCAATGTCACTACCACCACCACCACCGTCATCGTCACCACCACCACCATCGTCAATGTCACTACCACCACCGTCATCGTCACCACCACCACCACCACCACCGCCGTCAAGTCACTACCACCACCACCACCGTCAATGTCACTACCACCACCACCACCACCACCATCGTCACCACCACTATCATCAAGTCACTATCACCACCACCACCACCGTCATCGTCACCACCACCACCACCGTCATCGTCACCACCACCACCACCGTCGTCACCACCACCACCACCACCGTCGTCACCACCACCACCGTCATCGTCACCACCACCACCGTCATCGTCACCACCACCACCGTCATCTTCACCACCACCACCGTCATCGTCACCACCACCACCGTCATCGTCACCACCACCGTCATTGTCATCGTCAAGTCACTACCACCACCACCACCACAAGCCGAGTGGCGTAGGGGAGGGGGACCCCCCTGCAGGAGGAGGCACGCGGCAGCTCTGCAGCGGAGAGAGTTACCATGGGGAGCTGGACCCCCCCCCCCTGTCCCCCCCCCCCCACGCAGCTCGTGTGCGTCTCGGGGAAACGGCAGGAGACCTTCGGTGCGAGTGGACGTGGCGGGTGAACAAACGTCTACGTCGAGGGGAAATCACGGGACCTCCTTTGCCAGTACCACAATATACACTCATAGGGGTTTTCCCCTTTTATCTGGCATAAAACCGACACCTTTTGCAAGGAATCATGTGCGCCTTTTGGCGTCATCTGGTCGAACACCGTATGGGACTAGGCTCTAAAGAAAGCCGTCTCTGGTGTGGACCAATCAGTTTCAAAGACAATGCATAAACTATCAGAGTATTGTTTTTTTGTTTGTATTTGACTGCGAGTATAGTGGTTAATGTAAGCATGATTCCTTGCAAAAGGTGTCAGTTTTGTTGCCAGAAAAAAGGGGAAAACCCCCTATTGGTCGAGGGGAAACTCGCTTGTTGCCGGCGGAGGCTCCGACCCCGGGCGACGGTCCCCTTACCCGACTCGGCCGTGGGGTCCGGCGCGTTCTCCGTGCCAGGCGCGGTGCAGTCCCACCGCTTGCCCTTGAACTGGTCGCGACACTCATGCAGCGCCAGCCGGACGCCCTGCACCACCGCGTGCATGTGGTCCAGGCGGCGCAGGCACATCTTGCGCTGCACGGGGGATAGTCCCGGAGCCCCGATGCACAGCGGCCGATACTCGGTGGTGTTAGAGTGGAGGGCCCACTGCGCAAGCGGCCTGCAGAGGGGTGGGAGTCATGGTGGCTAGGAGATGTTAACTACCTCGCCTGGTGTACAGGAGGTCGTGGGTTAGATCCCGACCCTGACGTCTGCTGCTGCTGTATATTTGGAGTTTGCGTGTTTCTCTCTCTCATCATCACGGTGGCTAGGAGATGTTAACTACCTCGCCTGGTGTGCAGGAGGTCGTGGGTTTGATCCCGAACCAGACTCCTGCTGCTGTATATTTGGAGTTTGGGTGTCTCTCTCTCATCACCATCACGGTGGCTAGGAGATGTTAACTACCTCGCCTGGTGTACAGGAGGTCGTGGGTTTGATCCCGAACCTGACGCCTGCTGCTGTATATTTGGAGTTTGCGTGTCTCTCTCATCATCATCACGGTGGCTAGGACATGTTAACTACCTCGCCTGGTGTACAGGAGGTCGTGGGTTCGATCCCGAACCTGACGCCTGCTGCTGTATATTTGGAGTCTGCGTGTCTCTCTCGCTCTCATCATCACGGTGGCCAGGAGATGTTAACTACCTCGCCTGGTGTGCAGGAGGTCGTGGGTTCGATCCCGACCCTGACGCCTGCTGCTGTATATTTGGAGTCTGCGTGTCTCTCTCGCTCTCATCATCACGGTGGCTAGGAGACGTTAACTACCTCGCCTGGTACGCAGGCAGTCGTGGGTTCGATCCCAACCCCTTACAAGTAAACCCGTAAAAACAAAGTTTTTCACTATAAATCCTTTATATGCGTGGCGGCTAGAGTCTTCTCGTCCTCTGGCTTGAGATGGCTGCCACCTATGGGTCAGATGATTGTCTGCCACCATTAAGCAATTGGTAATTAAATATTTAATTTGTTTTCCCTAAACAGTGTAAAATTTTGGAAAATTTTTTTCACGAAAATTATTTGTCACACACAACGAGTCTGTGTGGAAAATGTCAGCTCGATTGGATCATGGGAAGTGGGTTCAAAAACGAGCGAAAGATTTGCACGGTCGTAAGCAAGCAAGCACGCAAGCAAGCAAGCACGCGAACTTAATATAAAGGATTTTTAAAAATGCCTGCTGCTGCATGTACGTGTTGAGTTTGTGTGTCTCTCCCCGTGGTCGCGTGGATTTTTCTCCAGGTCCCTCTGGTTTTTCCTCCTCCTCCTTCGCATTTAGAATCAACGTCTCTACGCGTTTGGGGGTAATCCGGCTGCCGCTATAAATGACCACGTGATGATGATAATATCGGCCACTCCCTTGAGCTACAATGTGCGACAGACAGACCACTCCTGAGAGAGCTGCAATATACAATGTCAAAGAGCTATCTGTGGAATTTCTACAGGTTTTAAATGTGAATATTATTACGCCATGTATACACACACCAGAGGTCGCAACCGAGTACCCGATACCCGTACCCTACCCGATACCCGGCTACCCGTACCCGGCCGGGTAGGGTACAGGTACGGCTACCCGATTGCGACCTCTGGGATGAAGCCATGTTGCAGGCGTTGGGAAATGAGGGACAAACGGTGACTCACCAGTGACTCACGGCCTACCCGTACCCGGCCGCACCAGGGTCGCAAACGGGTACACGTACCCGGCCGGAGGACCACAGAATAAAAAAAAAAGCTTATACGATCACGGGGAAAACATAGCAACTCCAACTATACGGCGTGTTATAAGGTCGAAATTGAACCCACGACCTCCTGCATAACAGCCGAGGTAGTCAACATCTCCTAGCCACCGTGGTGCCCGCTAGACATTGTGTACCTAGTGTATATACACACACGCGCACGAGATAAAACAAACATTCCCGTACAACAACCGTATGGGGTGTGCAACATATTGGCGAGATAAGAAGGTTGCTTAACGTCGAAACTTGTGCGATCGTCGCAGCAGTGAGGCGGAAGACAGCAGCGTTGGCGTCTCGCGTTTACCACCAAGAGGAGCTGCC